AATAAATTAACATCCAAATCAGTAAAAACATAATAATAAGTAAAAATTATAAACAAATTCTTATACTCTTTTATATTTGTAAAAATTGAAAAATTCTGAAAATTATTTTTGGTTACATCACTAAAGGCACCAAAAATAATAAAAAAAAACTTCAAATTTCTAACACAATATAAATAATTCTTGAAGATTAAAACTCATTTTTTTTTCTAATGCACTAATAATTTAATCACATTTTCTAAATCCTATTAAAAGTGAATAACATTTAACATGAATATTATTAAAATTGATTAGAAGCATTCATAATCAAAATTTAAAACTTCTAAACCAAATATCCAAAAAAGTAGAATATTTAGACTAATTTTATTATATAGTTTTAAGACTTTTAGAATAATACTTATTTAAAATTTAATTAAGAGAATCATAAGATTATTTTAAGAATAAATTAGAAATTTAGAGTTTTAAAAGTAAATGCGCAAACCAGTTATGAAATAATAGAGTTGCAGGTGAATTAGAAATTTAATAATAACTTAGGGAATATGAAAATGTTCTATTTTTATTTTTTTTAATTAAGTTAATGAAGTTATAATATTGTAAAATAAGAAAAAGAAATTTTAAAATACTACAAAAAATGTGTTATATTATTTAATTAAATTATTTTCTAATCAAATTTTATTTTGTAATTGGACAGTTTGGATGATTTGAAGGTAAAACCATGAACCAAACTAATTATATCGATTTTAAAATTTTAAAATTTAAACCAATTTAATTTTATATTGATTTAGATTGATTTTTAATTGGATTAGCCCAGTTTAAGTCGAATTAATTGGATTTGATGGATATGAATACCCCTGTCCGTCGGTAACCACCACTACTTCAGTTTGAAGACAAGGGACTTCAATCCGACGGCGAAGCTAGAAATTTGTGAGGATAAGTTAGCAGATCTATTTGTAAGATTATGCAAGTCGCCCTCTTTCCTTACTGCTGGCTCTCTTATCATGTATTAACTATTTGATCTGGATTCTGGATCATAGCCGGCACCCGTGAATCGTGCTCGTAGGCTCAGTGTCTAGAGAATTTGGGGTTAAACTTCTTTGAAATGTTGTTCAGTTTTTACGGATGGGTATTTGAATTATGGGTTTTTGTAGGATTTTGATCGGAGTCATGGAGGGGCAGCTCCCAATTACTAAGAAATGGGTAGTGTTTTACCCTGTTTATATAAATTCGAAGAAAACTGTAGCTGAAGGGAGGCGGATCAGCTTGAGCAAAGCATGTGAGAATCCTACTTGTGTTGAGATTGGTGATTGCTGTAACCATCTCAAACTCCCATCTGTTATTGAGGTTTGTTTATGGATTCGTTTTGCACTTTTCTTTGATCTTGCTTGGCAATTATGGCAATTTCATATGGTTAGAAGATTTATGTTGTCCTGCCTCATTTGTCCATACAAGTTGTTGCAGTAAGATCAGCTGAAGAATCAATTTTGGTGTGCACATGCTTAAGATTGTTCCTTTAATTGTTATAAATTACAATTTCAAACATTTCTTGAGCTAAAAGAATTGAAATTTCTGAGGATGTTATGGTGTTTGCTCTAAATGTGCATAGAATTTGACTGCAGTCAGACTTTGTAGCCTATGTGTTTGTCATGAACTGTAGCTACCTGGAAAGGTTTAGGGAAGCAAATCTGTATCCAGGAATATGCTTGATATGTAGACCAAAGCCATCATATTCAAAAGCTGAACATGTTCCTTGCTTGCCTACCTCAGTTCTGATGTGCTCTCACTGATTGTTATCTGTTACATTAAACCAACAATTCTTCTTACTTGTTGTCATGACTCCTCGGGAACTTTGCAATGCAGATTGATAAGGCATATCCTCCTGACTTCATGCAAAGAGGGAGAGTGAGGGTATCGCTGAAAAGGGAAGATGGGACCTTATACAATCCAATCATTTCTTCTAATAAGGATACTTTCTACTTGAATTGTTCTTAATTTCTATTGCATCTTGAGATAGTTTTCATGCTTCTCGTGACTAATTTTGAATTAGATGTGTGGATTTCATTATTATATTGTTAAATCAGAATTGTCGCATGGGTGAACAAATAGTTATAATTTCTTTGGATTCAGTCTCCGTACTCTGTAAATGCTAGTAATATTCCATGCCAGTTACGACCAACGTAACCCTAACTCTAAAGCGCGCTTCGTACGCGAGAGTTTGACAACTACCGCCTCAATAAATGTAATGTCCCTTCCGAGACGATTCAGTTAAAAGTTTAGTTGACTAAAGCACTCATAGGCTCATAGCCAGTATTTTGTCATTTGGGGGTTTACTTTCCAAACCAATAAAGTGGAGTTAAGGAGAAAGAACCACCAGGTGTTGGTGCGGATGGACACACCTCGCTGTTATGTTCAGGGCAATGAAGAATTGAAGATACAAGCTTTTTCCATGGAAGAAAATTTTCACAAATCATTATCTTGGCTGCGTGTATCCCAAACTGGTCGACTTCTCCATTAGCTTCTTTTCAGCATTTACCTAAAATCGCAAGAAAGAAAAGGGTAAGTGTGAAATCAACAACGTCATGTTCCAAAGCATGCAGGAATATGCCATGGCAGGTGAAATTATTAGACAATGCTCTTCTCTTTACTCGAATTGGAAAGAGGGAGTAGGGCCATTAGAGTAATTAACGAGCAATATGCTTGTCTTCCCAATCCACTCACCATTCGTTAAGTTTTCCTAAAAGTCTGGATATGGCTTCAGGCCAAAAGTTAAAAACTTGTGTCCCACGCAAAATGAAAATCTTAAAATGTAAAGGGTATGTGAGAATACTCAGACAAACAATCTCTCCAACACCAGTACTAGGCGAAATTATAACCAAGAAAAAAATAAATAAATGACAATATTCTACCAAAAGGAAACTTCAATGCGTTATTCTGACTTATGATAAGAGACAGAGAAAGAATAGTAGAGGAAACAAATCAAACCTCAAGCATGGGGCTATTCTTTGGGATACTGCAAGCAAGAATTATGTTGAGACCAGTTTTTAACACTGCCATGGAAACAAAAAATTGCATTTAGCCCACAATCAAAAGAAACCAAACAAAACATATTAATAGAAATTTACCTAATCGCCTAGCGATTCCAGAGCCGGTGTTATCTGAAGAACCTCCGAGAATGGAAGTCACACCGACCGTGTTGCTCTGTTTCCTCCATCAAAGCAAATGACAATTTAACCAGTATTCATTATCAATTATTAATCCCTAAATTTTGAAGGCTATAATCTTACAGGTCGTGTCGATGCAGCTGCGTACAAGTCACCGAATTTCATAGAATTGCAACCGATCCATGCATATATGATATATCTATTCGTAATTAGAAAGCGATCAAATTCTGGATATTAAAAAGGTCAGAAGTTCAGCTAATTAAACATCCACACCTGTTTAGGGAAACGAATGATTTGGAAGTGGAAGAAGCGAGTCCCATGGACTATTCAATTGTCATGTAGTACACTAGGTACTAGTGTGTTTAGCCTAGATTCTTAAAATAACACTTTTTTATTGCATAAAAAAATAAGATAAGGCAAAATCAATAACCTTTTGATTTAAATGAAAAAAATTTAATTATTCTTAAATAAGATTATAAGTTTTAATTTTATGAATAAAAAAATAAATATTAAAAGAATTTTTTTATAAGATTTGA